GGGTGAGGGGAGGTCAGGCCGCACGGGACATGGAAGGGGGGAACTAAACCACCGGTCCTCTCCCCCCATCACAGACACCCCCCTGCCCCCCGCCCTGCCTGGTGTGGGGCAGAGGAAGCCGGGAGGGGCAGGAAGCAGACTGCGGTGGGGAAGGGGCGCCCCGCCCAGCCCCCGGCCCGGGTTCCTGTTTTCGAGACAAACCGTTCCCACGGGGCTAACCCGGCCTGGGGCCGGGCGTCTTCCTGCGGGCAGCGGGGGGCACAGGTTGGGTAGAGATCGGGGGCGTGGGCGCGGCGGGTCCTTGTAGTAGTCTGGGGGAGGGGCTAGGACAAGGTGGGAACACTTGGGGGAGAGGGGCTTGTGGGGAGGGAGGAATGAAAACGCGGCTACCTGGAGAAGGAGCCTCGAGGTCTGGGGATAGAGGGAGCTCCAGTTCACACAGGAGGGACTGGGGCCCCGGAAGCCTGGCTCCCCATGAGGCCAGATGAAAAGGGGCAGCTGCAAGCGATGGGTGGGTTCTCCGCAGCTAGAAAACTGGAGCCTGGAGGCCTGGCCAACGCCCCTCACCCCCACCCCCACCCCCGGCAGAGAGGAACTTGGGAGGGGAAGCCGCAGGCGGTTGGGGTCCCCACAAGCCGGGCCTAGGGGAGCCGGTAACCGTTTCCGGCTGTTCAGGTTCAAACACACACACTGTGAAACCATCGGGCCCCAAACAAATCTGAGGCTTGCCCCGCCCTGCTACCCGGCTGCGGAGGCAGGACCACCCCCACACCTCAATCTCGGTAAAACGAGACCTACAAACAGGCCCCTTCTGGTCCTTAGTTTCCCCGAGGAAGGGCAACACCGGCCTAGCCTAGACGGTCTGTGTGTGTCCCCCGCCCTAACACTCTCCTTACTTTAGACCTAGCGCAGCCACCTGCTGAGAGACCCTTAAACGCCGCAGTGGGGCGGGGCTAAGGGCGGAGTCAAGAAGGCGCCAACCACCCAGAGGCTCCTCCCCCTTTTGAGTCTGGCCCCCAACCGCGTGGATCTTCAGTAGTCCTGGAGGCCTCTGCCTAAGTCCCAGCTCCCGGCCCGGGTGGGCCCCACCCGGGCGGATGCCACGCCCCCGGCCAGCCTAGCAGGCCGCTGACCTAGTATGGACACAGCACTGGGAAGAGAGGCGTGGAGGATGACGCTTGGAAGTGGGCAGGAGAGTCCGGGCCCCGCCCCCACAGGCCGCCCCCCCCCCCACCCCC